ACTCCTCTACTGTCTGAAACAGAATTGTCTGTCTTAACATTCTTGGTGATGTGTTATTCCACTACTGAGGAGCTTTTCTAGTACTTTACTCATCAACGGGAGCAAAATAATTGTGTGTTTGTGTATGTGTGTGTGTGCTACAACATGAATATTTTATGATAGCACAACATACATATTTTATAACGTATACTTTATCGTAAAAGCATAGTGAACGAACGAACATGTGTTGAACCTGCAGCTTGATTTCATAAACCATTATTATGGTCAAATGTCGACGGTTTTGCATCCCTTATTTGAAATGAAATATAAAATATGCAGATACTGTTAAAACACAGGAGTTTTGCCCGTTCATCATATTTTTAGTGCAGAAGAATCAGAAATTTCATGCCCATATACGTGTGTTCTTTTTGTTTACCACAAATCCGACCTAATTGTCCGTATGTGGTCAAAGTAGGATTTAATTTCAATTTGTTAATCTTTCTCACTTTTTCTGCACATTGTATTGTGATTATCTTCTCAATCGCAAGGAGAATCCAACGTATTGATTCTGCAGCCGCATTGGCAACTTATTGTCAAGGGCATTGCCCTGCGTCCTGAGAAGGTCAACCAGTTACAATTTCCTCCGTAGTATCCTTAATTCGGTCTTAACATTTTTGATATTCGACCCGGCTGAATCTTTCTTTGTCGTTCTTTTCAGCAGTATAGGGATTTGGTCATTTTTATTTGTCTATTTATCCGCATTATTATTTTTTTTATCTTCACCTGTTCAGCCAATTTTGCAATTTTCAAATTCAGCAAATTTTGCAGTAGATTTTCAATAGAAGTTATGGAATAACCAAACGCCCCTCAGACCAACACGTCAGCAAAAAGTCTAGCGGGTCCAGACGGCCGGCCATCATCTTAATGAGCACCTCTTAAAACTAGTATAAAAACTCTAATCCCCAAATATCCTTGCCTTACTCTTACGATAGCCTTCTGCCGTCACTCTGTCGGTTTAAAATTAAACATTGTACAGTTTTGACAATAAAGTTTCTTCTTTTTTAAAAAAGTCTTCTTCGAGCGATTATTTAACTTCGATGTTTTCGGATTAACCGATGCTAAAACCACGGATAACACCGCAAAGGGGAGAGTTTAATGAATATCGCGGCGATATTCGGCGATGTATCAGAGACGACTGTGGGCATTGGCGTCGAAACCGTGCCAAACTGGAAGCATTCGCGCTACAACCATGTTCAACGCCGGCCGACCGGAAGTCGACGAAGCCTCCAGAGTGCCCATTGACGAATGAGGCTATCTTTTTGTGGTTCCTTCAACAGAGGAGCAAAGGAATGAGTATTTCTTGTCCGATTGCTAACAAATTTCCCACCGAAACTGAAAAATTGCAAGCGATTGAAGGTTAGTTATGGTAACAACATATCCAAAATAAACATATATTTGTGCAAAATGCGTTTTTAATTAATTTTCTTTTCATTTTTTTTAAGAAGTCGGATTATCCGAGGTAGGTCTGGTCCCGACAACCTCGGTTGATCGAGAGTCTCCTGTATTTAAAAATATCCGGTATGATTTTTTATAGCGTATTATTTTATGTATATTCATGTACATGTATTCATGTAATTTATGTACTTTTCATATATATATAATTTTTTTTAAATCAAATTTACAGTTTATGTGTAATGTGTGGTGATTAGTGACCGTTAATCGATAATTATTCAGAAATCGTGAGATGCGGTCTGGTGTGATGTAGGTTTCAGAAGAACATTTTCTTTACCGTGCCAACGTTTCGATCTTTATTGAGATCATTTTCAAGCTCAAAATGTTTGTCTTCTGTGTAATTGTGCCATTCTTGCGTGTCGTGTTGAGAGGGCAGCTTGAAAATGATCTCAATAAAGATCGAAACGTTGGCACGGTAAAGAAAATGTTTTTCTGAAACTTACATCACACCAGACCGCATCTCACGATTTCTGAATAATTTATGTGTAATGTTAATACAATCATGCAGATCTATTTTCCTATGCTAGAACGTTAGTATAAACATGTGTCACTAACTTGCTCTGAGTAAAACGTTTACATTTTTTTACCTATGTATCCATAAATCATCACGATTTCTATGTTTATATTGAAATAATAGGAGATTCCTCGTACCAACGGTCAATATTGCATTTACTCTCGTGATCACAACCTGCTCGATTCTTAGGGTGTGATTGCTCTTATAAAATATTTCCACTGCCCTCTGGAAGACATTCCATTCTCTAGGAGTCTAAGGGATTGATTTTTACCCCGGCCTTCAATTATTTCCTTGGCAAAGCTGAAGGAATGAGGTATTGAAGCCCCAACAAATAGACACAATTTCTAGCTTTTGAATTTAAACATTTATTTCCAGAATCATTTTTAGATTGTCTCGTTTTTGCAAAGGATTTTTTTTATAAATTGTGATACTTGATCTACCAATAGAGGAATAATTGTAATTCGTTAGAATAGATAAGAATAATCTCGTCCACTGACAATTCATAAATTCATTATGGTGAAACCATAAATTTCAATATTGCAAGTAGATGTTCAAATTTGTTGACATTGTAATAATTATTAATAATAGTTTTAAAAAATCTGATGGAGGGAATAATTTCTCGAAAGCTTGGCGAAGGTAGAGCATATTTTTCTTGTCATTCAACATGGCCTTATCCCAGATTTTTAATATAACATTATTGCATAGTATAACGCTTAGAACAAATGTACGTAATTGATCGGTTTTATTGTTTTAAACACGGTTATCATTTATTTCAGACCAATTTGTTGTATTATTATTATTTTCACCAGCAACTTTATTTGCAATAAGTAAAACTTCATAGCATATTCATGATCAAATTAAACATGATAGGAGACGCCATCTACTGGGACACGCCCTCATACAGTTATCACTGAGACAAATCCATAGGGCTAGGCCATTGTCTCTTCATCCAACGTGGAGATTTTCCAGGTGGGTTTAGTGTGAAAAGTTGTTGGACGACGGGGTTTGGGTTTACAGAAAGGGTACTGTGGAATTTCTGGTAACGTGTTCTTACAAGTTCGTGAATGAATGGAATATGAAGGTGAGTGTGTTTATTCCAGACATAGAAAGGAGCATCAACGATTTTTATTAAGATTTTGGATTGGAATGACTGGATATGGGATGAATTGGAATGTTTGGTTGAGACCAAAAATTCCACTCTGTTGGTCATTATCGGACGAATGACAATTTTGTAAACGGTTAGTTTGTTATTAAGGTTCGGGAGAATCGTTAATCGAGTAGTCTTAGCGAGAATTTGTCATGTCGTTTCAGGCCCATATATCGTAATATGCCAGCAGTTGGTATCAGTATGTCATTCATTAGTAATGACAGCTGCTTACACTGGGTACAGCTACTTTCTTAGTGCCAAAGTGACGAACGCATTTCTTTTTCGTTCACTTTGATTCTCTATTTGCGGTAACAGGTAGGGTGAGATGACATTGCAGATAGGAGCTTACTACCGATGGGTTGGAGTTAGAATAGAGTTTAGCCGTGTTGTCGACAAGCGTGTGGAGATGACTTTTTTGGGGAAATAGAAATGTCAGCAGTGTACATTGTAGAAAGGATCGTGCCAAGGATGATTCCAGGACTCCAGATTTTACCGGAATATAAAAGGAAAGGGAGGGCAATAACGGTCTGTCAGACAGGATCGCAGGGTAAGATAAAAGGTACTGGGAAGAATCTTCTTGATTTTCCACAGTAAACCTGGGCATACCCAGTCGAAAGCCTGGGCTATATCTAGGAAGTAATGGTGTCCACCAAACGATGCACCTTCCGTACAGTGGATGTGAGCGAAACCCAAACTGATGAGACGGTAAAATTTTTCTATCCTCTAGAATAGGCATTAATGTTTTAAGCAGTTTTTCAAGGATATTCGCTAGAATGGAACGGAGTCTGGCCGGACTAGGATCTTGGAAGTTTGACTGGTTTGTTAGATTTCTGATCATTCTAATTTATTTCCAGCGTATTTCCGTTGAATTGGGAAATACATGGTTTTAAAATGGGTTGTGGCAAGTAAAGTAGTTCTTTTTTAGGTAAGCTGTTCAACAATTTAGGGGTAATTAGGTCGTGTACTGAACCCCCCCCCCTTCAGACTATAAATTTGATTTCTACTCTTGAGGAGAATTAGCCATAATAATAATCCATGTAAGTTTAGCCGTCATAATTTGATTTATTTAATTATTTCAATTAATTATAGTTTTTATCTAAAGTTTTGGTTCAGATCAAAAAGTTAGCGTCAGGAGCGGGATTCGTACCCACGACCTTCGGCTCAATACGTCGCTGCTCTAACCAACCGCTTGAACCAATGAGAAGTTTGTGGCATGGGCGATCGAAGTCCCGCTCCTGACATTAACTTTTTCATCTCAACCAAGACTTTAGATAAAAAGTATAATTATTTGACTGAATTAATTGACACAATAATAATATTTTCCTCGAAAATCTAATGCATCATATTCCAGCCGTTGTTCGAGAAATTTGGTTTTTAGGATCCTAGGTAAAAAATAAACTTTGTTTCAATTGGTCGACCGAAGTTAGTTTAGAGACGTATTGTCGAAAAATGTGAGAATTTGAAGGTAACAAAGCAAATGGAAATGGAAGATTCCAACAAACGGGATAAAATGGGAAGTCAAAAAAACTTGGAGGACCGTTTTCCTTGTTAAGTTCCGCTCCCGGATATGCAGAACAAGAATATATAAATAAAGCAATGGTATAATATATGCTAAAATGTTTATATTATAACCAGTCAGGCTAGCTTAATAATTTACATTTTCCTGACTGTTACCTCAATAAAAACAGTCAATATTCAAAGTAAATATTTTGTTTGATAATCACTAGCAATTGTACGATTTGTTAAATTTAAAAAAATCTACATAACGAATTTCTAGTTCTTTTTAAATTGTACACAAATACTTTGTCATCCTATCTTCACATTAATTAAATTCTTTTGTTTTTGCAGGGAAGTTGAGCGAAGAAGTAGGAAACAACAACAAATGGAACCAAATGGGAAGTCAAAAAGAACTTGGAGGACCGTTTTCCTTGTTAAGTTCCGCTCCCGGATATTTGCTCAGCCCAAGTCATCACCTCCACGGCAACAAACTGCCCAGCAACCACCTCTTCTGAACTCCGCCCTTTTACAACAATTAACCACCCTTCCCTTCCATCCGCTCTACATTGTAAATATGTAAATATTATATTTAATGATTCGTTCACCCTATAATAAGGGAAGTGTCTAAAACTAATTTAAAAAATAAAAAGTAAAAAAATATGAATGCTGCTTACTCCGAACGAGCTGGGCGGAGGAGAGGGCTGCCGAATAAAATGTCTTGCCGATATCTCGTCCTTATGGTTATTAAAGAAAAAAAAACCGGTAGATTTTTTTGTTGTTACCTTTTTAATTGTTCGTTAATTTAAGCTGAAAAAAAAGGTTTCGACGTAAAAATTTCACAATACTCTACGCTTCCTGGATACCGTCAATGGCATACATTTTTAGAAAAGGTTGAATAACAAAACAGGGAGAAATTAACATTTCGCGGTAAACAAATAGCAATCTTTGATATAAAAAAAGTGTCATGCTATCTGTTTATTGATCTTTGTGATCATTGTCGTTTATAAATATGTAAATATAAATCAAGTCAGTCAGAGAATGCCTCAATTTTTTTACTTGCTTACTTAATTACTTAAAACAAGAATAATAACTTTTCAATGAAAATGACTGACAAAGGAGATAAGCGATGAAGTTTACGTTCTATTAACAAAAAATTACTTAATAAACTGATTATTAAAAAACCAATCACTTGTCTGTAATGTTCAAAAACGTTTTCCCTTGGTATTTGAATGTTACACTAGAACCATTGTGTAGCACGTACTTTTTAAATTGAATAATGTAAAAAAATATAATCAAAAGAACACGTCGATCTGGCAAAAATATTTTTTATATCATTGTTTTTGTTTTTTGTAACCTAAATATAATGTTAATGTTATAGTATTTTCATGACTGTCGAGACATTAGTAAATACTTATTTATTTTGTACATTAATGGACCTTTAATTTTGGGTGTTCCTTTTTATACTCGATACTTTGAAATAATAACATTAATTATCGTGTTTTATTTCAAATCCATGATCTTTTAAACACCTATTCCACTCTCCAAATCACTATCCTTTTATATAAATACTTATATATGTTAAGTACTCAAATTATAAGGCTTTATTCAAAATAATTTCAAATGTTTAACCTCTGTTCTGTCTGACATGTAGCCAATCACATTATTGACCAATAAAACATTAGAGACTCTTAACTTTATGCCGAAACAGAGTTAAAAACACGAAAACAAATTAACTGTAATAAATGTAACATAAAATAATAAAAATATTGCCCTCCTGCAGATGCAGGGGAAGAATTAATCTATTTTCCAATTTATGAAAATAATTCCGAAAACATTAAGTTTTAAATGTTTTCACTATTATAACGCGTATGACTTGAATACCAAACATATTTTACATTAGATATGAAGATTTTTTAATTGGCAAATTAGACTAGTAGAATAGCGAATTATGCAAATTACATTAATCCTCTGACAATAGAAACGACGATTAATCAGGCAAGCTTTGTTAAGTTTAAAATTATACCCTTTTAAAATTAATAATATTCAAATTATACGACTGGGCAATTTTCCAGCATTAGAAGATACCATATTTACACAAACTAAAACGTATCCTTCCAATCCTGCCAATCTTTACCTAATTTTTTGCTCCTACCTATCAGAACGATTCTTCAAAGTTCGTCAGTGAACGGACTACTCGGAATATTATCCTCTGGAAGCGGGAGAGCGGCAGGGCATTGTGCTCGGGCCAATATTGGACCTCATTTACACCTAAGATATCTCAAGTTCACCTACCTACCACCTTCCTTACTTCCTTGAACAACTACTGTACTATCCTCTGATCCTGGTCCCGCAATTCTTTCGGGGGAGCTGCAGGCGCACGTGTTGCGATTAGACAAATTCTGGCGTATTAAGGCAAATGAAAGAAAATATACCAATATTACTTTTACCCACAGAAACAAAACTCGTCATACAATATTCCTCAGTAGTAATACGCCTCTAACTAAAACACACTACCTGGGCTTCATCTCGACTAAGTGTAATCTGGAAATTGCCCCGGGACCTTCTTACGAAAAACTATCAGAAAGCTGGGAGAGCAATGGTTGCTGGCTCCCCTCAGGATATCTGTAACAATGTCAAACGGTAAAATCGTATTCTATCTAATTACTTAATGCGTATAGTTTGTTAAAAGGTAATAAAAAATGTTCTCTTCTAATAATGGATTAAAATCAGCTTTTACTAAATTTCTACGTATGTAAGTAAACAATTATCCTTTAGTATTGATGTGCATTCAGAAAGAATGATCAAATCTGGAGCGAGGACATGAAATTTAGATGATTTCGGTTCGAACAGGTGAAGGACGTAAATAAGTTTTGGTAAACTATCAAATGTCCTTCTGCAGCATGGCTAGGCCACATATTTACTGTCTTTCTCAGAGCAATGAATTCAAGAATTCAAGACTAAAGTAGTAAAATGGTTGCAACGATTTGCCACTAGACTCAACATTGTACCAGGGATTGGATTACAAATACAAAAATATGTTCAGGTCAGTAGCATTGTAATTTTAATATTATTTTAGATAAATGTCTCGGAAAAGTGCAATTCAATTCTTCATTCAATTCAAGAATGAACATTTTACTTTGCCTTTATGTGTACTATGTACATTAAAGTATCATTTTATAGAATTTCATACGGAGAATACGAGGAAGAGGTATTATGATTTATGAGGTGCCTAAATCGACCGAAATTGACAAGTAAGTTATACTCGAACAATAAATCTTTAACTTGATTATATATAATTTATGATTATACTTTTGCATTTACAGGAAACCAACCAGCAATGGGCTATGGGAATGCTCACAATTGACATGTAGTCGGTAGAAACAATAAAGTTGTTGGCCTGTTGTCAACATATAACAAGCAATCCGGAGTTTATCTTATATCATTAAAGGCCTGTCGACGAGGATCAAATCACTCGCGGATTAACTATTATGGTAACAACGGAAAAACGTGAAGCGATTGGAGCTTTATATATATTTAAAAAAACGAAATTAAACAGGCGCCTACATATTTTCTGCTGATGATTTGTCAGGAGTAAAAATAAAAAAGTAAAAATCAGCTACAGCTTGTGTAGCGGAGAAAATGAAACAGAGATGCAGCAATCCGCCGGATGATGGAGCCTTTCAGGAAGAAAGACTGCAGATTACGTGTCCGGTAACAAAAAGATTTGAAGCGAGAATAGACGTCTTTCTTTCCAAGCCAGAATCAACCATGACCGATGCGACCACTTACGACAAAAGTGCAAAGCGACGACGGCTTTTTCCTCCGTATTCTTCGGGCCGATTCCCAATTCAACTGACGCGACAAAATATACCAATTTTTAAATGTAGTAAAAAAGTCATAAATAATTTTTTAATATTCACTATTACATTGATATTAGGCCAAAAATAACAACTCTTTATCATTTTTATCATCTAAAGGATGCAAGGGCGTTGAATATCTTGCTGTTGATTTGTATCTGAATGAAATGAGTTCAATTCCCATTACCAAAAAAAGTATCTGTCCCATGCTTCCAATATCGATCAAACATTTTAATCAGTAGTGCATCGAGCATAGCCAGAAACCGGGGATAACTGATAAATATGGATCGATGGATTATTTTCGTTTAAATATCTGAAATGAGTCATAAACAATTTGTTAAAGCAACATTTTTTTTTAAATTAAAAAACTCGAATATTTCTTTGTTCTTAAGCGTAGGATCGACAACAGATCAAAGTTTGGGAGAAAATCAGGTGCTCAATTGAATGAGACAATAGTCACTTTTGCCGAGCTTTCTTTCGGAGATATAATTTCTCCTTCCGCAGGACCTATATTTACGTACATTTATATCAGATAATTATAATTTTAAAAGTTACCACAATGTTACAGCCTAATTGGCAGCTTTAATGGTGTGCAGAAGAAGAGCGGAAAAAATTGGGGATGCAGACTGGTAACCTTGCTTTGGATGTACACCTTGATGGTGAAACCTAAACATCTGGCGCCATAGCCTGGACCGATAATAAATAACAAAACGAAGAGAACTCACAAAAATACAGAGACTTGCATGCATCTGTATAATGGGAGCGATGAGAACATGTCCCACAGTTGGTATGGAAAAGATGCTGATATTAATTACCCTCCATCACATGCTAATGCAGGCAGCACAGAAAACGATATTAGTATTAACAAAGAGAACATCCAATAGGAATAAAACTAAAATGGAGAGATATCAACAGTCTAACGAAAGACCATCAGATGCTCATGGCCCCAAGAGATGACACGAACAGGATGTTTGAATTAATCAAAATTTCCAATAAACTTAGGGACCAAAAAAGAGTGGTAAAGAGAAAAATACACCTTTAAGAATGGCACCATCTACCATCTACATGAGTGCACAGGTGGATTTAGAACGCAAGAAATACGGGGGCACGAGTATTCCGTCCTGGAACCAAATACGCAGAACTCAAATAAACCAGTAACTTCCAAGCTGAGATTGACGCAATCGAGTGATCAACCCGACTAAAGGGTACAAAAAACAAGAATATAGCGATCATGTCAGATAGCCAACCAGCCATCAAACCACTAAGTTCAACATCATTACCTCAAAGATGGTGCTGAATTGCAAAACTAAACTAAACAAATTAGGTATGCAAAACAAAGTCAGCCTCTGCTGGGTCTCAGACATGTGGGAGTAGAGGGCACCGAGAAAGCACACGCCCTTGTAAGAAGAGAGGCTGCTATACCGCTGATAGGATCCGAGCTCATCTGTGGCATGGGAATCCACACTATCAGACAACCTCAGACAGAAGGATAAAAAGAAAGAGGGACCGATAAAATTCACTCATTGGACACAAACAATCCATGAACCTCCTATCAAATTTTTGAAGGAAAGAGGTAAAGGAATGCATTTAAGGAAGCAGAAAAAACTGCAAATCCTAGCAAAAACATTTGCAAACAAAATTGAAATCTGAAGAAGAATGGCAGACTCACCACGGCAAGGGCAGATTTTCCACAGAAACACCAACAAACCTACTAACAAACTGTGGTGCTACTCTTGTCCGCAGGTACAATGGACGTACAATGTAACCGTAGAAAAAATTAGAAAAGCGCAGTGTAATACACGCCCCGAGTAATACATCTACATCTACAGCCTAATTACTTACATAGTAGCTCTTATGTACTTTTTGAATTAACATGTACATTTGATTTCTTATTCAATAAAGTCGATATGTAAATTCTGTGATAAATATTTAAATATAAATAAATTAATCTGAGGTATTAGGTGTAAAGATCTTGAGACACATAAACCTACTAATTCTTGAAGGCTAATAGTACAAGTTTATCCAATGTAAAGATTTTTAAAAAACAACAAAACCCAACGCTAGGTGGATATCTACAGAGCCAGTTACTTCTTAATAGTTGACTGTTTTTAGTACCAATCCCAAATATTATATATTCCTCATTATTTAAATATGTCAATATATAAGCTGAATTTAAAATGATATATCATTTTCAATTAACAGGTATATTAACATTAAATAAATTATTAATACGTTATACAAATATGAGTTGGGATTGTGGAGGAGCCCTCTGTTTATCTATCCTTCTATGTTTCTCAATCGAAATTAACCCTGCATAAAATTCGCTTGTTTTTATACTTTCTGTATTGCAGTTGTTTGGCGTCAATTTAATGTGTAAAGCTTCTTTTTTCTTTTTGCTCCCTTTCTAATTTCTTCG